AGCTGGGTGCCTCCAAGAAGCACCCCACCTTGGTGGCCTACCAGGGAGGAGGGGAGGAGATGGCCAGCCCGGACCAGGTGGATGACACCTACCTGCAGGAGTTCTGGGATATGCTGTCGCACACGGAGGAGACCCAAACGGAAGGAGGAGGAGGTGGAGGAGGGACAAAGAAGCCCGAGGGGCTGAAGGAGAACCAAGGTACCGAGGGGCCCCAGAACAGGGTGGTGGTGAAACGTGGTGGCCTCCACCAGATCCCCATTCACCTCAGCCACAAAGAGGAGCAGAAGGGCCGGGAGAAGGAGCAGCACGAAGGCGTCCCCAACAGCGATGAGGGCTACTGGGATTCTACCACTCCTGGTCCCGAGGAAGATGTTTCCACAAGCATCCAGAAGGAGACCATTCCCAGGGACAGCTACAGCGGGGATGCTCTCTATGATCTCTACACTGAGCCGGATGAGAACCCACCAACGGGGCCTACGGATGAAGAGGTCGCCTGCGTGCCACGCTCCAAGCCCGTGTCTCCGATAACAACCACGTGCTCCCTGAAGACCCCCTCAAGCACAGTGAAGGACTCCAAGATACCTATCAGCATTAAACACCTTTCATCGCATCCTGCCAGCCATGGAGCAGATGCCAGTAACAGCCATCACGTCGCACACCATCACCTGGCCAAAAGTGAGATGCACAGAACAAAAATCCCTGTCTCTAAAGTACTGGTACGCCGGGTCAGTAACAGGGGCTTAGCAGGGACAACAGTGAAAGCTGCCACGTACCAGGACAGTGCCAAAAAGTAGTTGAATAAGAGGTGGAGACGAAGACAGACAGCAAGGTCAGTGTGTGAAAGTCTGCTTAGGAGACCACTGATATTGAGTTAGTTTTGCATCACCTGAGGAAAGTCACCTAAAAGGCTCATTTCACTGTACTCCGTGGGTCTGCACTTCGGAATCCCTTCTTACTAGACTGTATGGCTGAATCTAAAAAGTCGACTTCTTTTTGAGCACTTTTTTTTTACATTTGTATCTTTTTTCTGCAGCACTAAACACTGGGGAAGTTCATTTTTACATGCCTTTTTGGAAGCAGGACTTGGATTATGAACCTAAATGAGCATCCTTCCTCATGCAAAGCAGTGCCATGAGTTCTTCAAGGGAACAGAGTTACAAAAGGAGCGACAGGAGAGGTTCTCCAATACACTTATCTTTTAATAATTTCTGGGGGAGGAGTGGAGGGTGGGTTCCTGACTCTGAAAATGGTGTTTGCTCTGCAAGATGTTGGAAAAAATGCCAAGCAAAAAACAACCAACCTAACAGGTATTTTACCTGCTGTAGGAACGAGAGCACTGCTCAGCAGCAGACTTGATTGACTTGTGTTCAGTAGCTAACTAAGGAGTTAGGTGGACTTGTCTAACAGGAAAACATATTTTTGTTTGTCTGTCTGTCTGGTTGGTTTTGATCTGGTCTAATGTAAATGGGTAACAGAGACACCTGACGTAGGTTCAGATGTTTACATCAATACTTGTCCAATAACACATACAATCAGGTTCAGGGAAACATTTTACTAAATGCCAATATATACACACTGTTCACATTTATACAATAACTTGCTCACCATGTGTAAATATATACCTATTTTAGCAGATTTACTCAATGCCACAGATTTTTTATTGAAAAAAAAATCACCCTTCTGTATTATCTAGAGTTTAAGCAAGAGTTAGTTTTTATAGGTAGATAATTTTACAGTTCTAAAATGATGGAACTTAGTGTAAGTACCTTAAATTAGAGCAAAATTCTGTTTTGTATGGACTCATGCATCCCCAGATAAGTAAGTCTGAAGTGCTGATTTTATTCCAGTGGCACATTCCATGTGTCAGAGCTCAAGTTCTGACAGCATCGCCACTGCAAACCTCTATTCTCAGGGGTTTAGACAAAGTTGCTCTGGGCTTAAACCTTACAGAGAAGGAACCCAGGAAAGAAACTTGTTTTTTAATTATTATTTTTTAAAATATATAAAATTAGTTTTTGACTATTTAAAGAAAGTTTGGGTTCTTATTGCTTTTTATTTTCATTCTTAGTAACATGAGAATAATTTTACTTTAAGAGAGAAAAAGAAATATGGTAAGCTAGTGATACATAAAATGGTCTGATGAGCTTGGATCTTAGGAGAAATGTATTAATGGCCAGGACATTTTTGAATAGTGGCTAAACA